TCCACTCAACCTCTCGCACACAGTCCCACCCCCCTGATACACACCCACTGCTACACCGCTAGCTCTACTCCCACGCACCCCCCTTAAACCCTAAACCCGAGTCTCCCACACAACCACCCCCCTCAGCGACAGCTGCAGCAGTGGGAGACGGAGGAGGAGGAGGAGCAAAGGGAGGAAGGCACACCGAGCACCCCCATACCCGCCACCCCACAGCTCGCCCCTCATAGGGCCGCGACGGTCGGGGCGGGGCCGCGACATAGGGCGGGGCCGCGACATAGGGCGGGGCCGCAACATAGGGCGGGGCCGCAAAGGTAGGGCGGGGCCGAGCCGGGCAGGCGCACGGGCGGCGACGGGCCGGGGCGGGGCCGCGACGAAGGGCGGGGCCGAGCCGGGCAGGCGCACGGGCGGCGACGGGCCGGGGCGGGGCCGCGACGTAGAGCGGGGCCGCGTCGAGGGGCGGGGCCGCGACGATCGGGGCGGGGCCGCGACGTAGGGGAGAAGCCCGCCGCGCGCCTCGGGGCGCACAGCGGGCAATGAACCGCCGCGCGCCTCGGGGCGCACGGCGGGCAGAAAACCGCCGCGCGCCTCGGGGCGCATGGCGGGATGAAAAAATGCCGCACGCCACGTGGCGTGCGGCTCAGAGGGTAGTAGCAGTAGTAGCACCGGAAGCTAAGCGGTGGTAAGCCCACCCACAGGATCGATCCAGGGGGATCGACCTGCTCTGATAGCATGTCAAAATTAGAAGGAAGAAAGAGGAATGAACTAGCAGAAATGGGGATACAAATAGCAAACCCTAGAAGGGTTGTACTCGCTATAGAGCACCCCACTACAAGCTAGAACATAAGAATAATATTCTGACACCTAGTGTACAGTCGGGATAAGCAGCAGCACTTAGCAGATCTGGAAGCAGTGTTTAACGTTTTAGACGAGCACAGATTACTGACCAAGGGTTCTAAGTGCGAGTTCTTCCTGGATAGGTTAGTATTTTTGGGGCACGTTATTTTGGAGGCTGGAGTTGGAATCGACCCAAAGAAGCTGGATACGGTAAAAGCGTGGCATCCCCCGAAGATCATCACGGAGCTGCAGAGCTTTTTAGGGTTGGTTAATGTCGAAATATGTTTGTCATATTTTGTAACTGCTTGTAGTTGTAGTGTAGTTATTGTACTTTGTAGGTGGTGCACCAACATTGTTTCCTATGCTATATGTTTCTTGAAACCTATAGTGAAACCACATTCTCCAATTTCTCCTCTCCAACTCACTCGATACCTCGCCTAGGTGAAAACCCGTTCGATACCTAAGTTCGGGCCTAGGCTAATAAGCCTAGGCCCCACCTCTCAACTCACTAATTCTCTCGACATGTTATCGGAGCTGATTTCGTCCTGGCCTGTGGGCCCGCTCTACACTTCCGCTGCTAAGATTTCCCGGTCGCGCGCCTAGGGCGCGTGACGATTTTATTTTTACCTTGTCCCGCCCACGGGTGTGTGACTCCTTCCCTGCCCGTCGCGTGCCCCATGGCACGCGACGGTGCCCTTCCACTGCCCATCGTGCGCCCCGTGGCACACGATGGTGCCCTGCTCGTCGTGCGCCCCGAGGCACACGATCGGGCCCTTTTATCCTACCCGTCGTGCGCCCCGTGGCACTGGCCCTCGACGGGCCTTTCCGCCCCTGCACTCCCTGGAGCCGCCCCTGACCCATCTGCACCGACACCTTTTCGCCGCTTTGCGGCTTTCTTCCTTCCCACCCCCCCCCCTCCTTTGTCTCCCTGCAGCCGTGGGGAGGAGGGTATGGGGGTGGAGGGTGTTGGAGTGTGGCGTCACCTCTCTCCCTTCCCCTCCTCCTTCTTTCAGTCCCACCGCTGCAGCTGCCGCTGGGGGGGGAGGGTGTGAGGATGTGGGGGAGCAGGGGGAGTGGTACCAGGGTGGCGGGTGTGAGGCAACATGCAGCCGTCCCTCCACCTCTCCTCTCTTCCCCCCCTTCTCTGCTGCTCCTGCAGCAGTGTGGGGGAGGGGAAGGAGGAGGGTGAGGAGATGGAGGGGGTAACTCTCTAGTGTTAGCCCGCCTGCAGTACCTGCTGTTGCTTGTGATTGTTTTGCATGGTGTACCCCCTCAGGGGGCGTAACTACTTTTCTACCTACAAGCATTATGGGGGCGTGTCGAAATATGTTTGTCATATTTTGTAACTGCTTGTAGTTGTAGTGTAGTTATTGTACTTTGTAGGTGGTGCACCAACATTGTTTCCTATGCTATATGTTTCTTGAAACCTATAGTGAAACCACATTCTCCAATTTCTCCTCTCCAACTCACTCGATACCTCGCCTAGGTGAAAACCCGTTCGATACCTAAGTTCGGGCCTAGGCTAATAAGCCTAGGCCCCACCTCTCAACTCACTAATTCTCTCGACAGTTAATTATGTGCGCCGGTTCGTCCCGGATATGGCACGGTTAACTGCCCCACTGACGGATTTACTGCGGAAGGGGGTCGCTTTTACGTGGGGGGAGAAAGAGCATGCTGCCTTCTCTGCCCTGAAAAATGTTCTCTGTTCACCGCCCGTCCTGTGCATCGCCGACCCACACCGCCCATTCGAAATAGTTACCGACGCAAGCGATATCGCCATCGGAGCCGTACTGCTACAGGATTTCGGCAATGGCCTACAGCCTATCGCATACGAGTCACGAAAACTGCATCCGTCCGAGATAAATTACCCGATACACGACCGCGAAATGCTTGCGATCGTGCACGCGTTCAAAGTGTGGCGCTATTACTTGACTGGTGCGGACGTGACAGTACGGACAGACCATAAATCACTACAGTACCTTCGCGCACAGCCACACCTCAACCCACGAGAGATTCGCTGGCTTGATTTCCTCGAGTCCAACTTTCACTACACATTCACTTACAAAAAGGGAGCCTCGAACATCGCCGACGCACTGACCCTCCCCACTGCCCAGATCCACGCAATACTACTCGCCCAGACAAGCCCGCTACTGACAGGCCTATTCACCCACGGGTACCAAACGGATCCATTCTTCACAGGAAGAAATTTGCAGCAGTTCGCAGCAACAAAGGGAGTCTATTACGTAAAAATCGGGACTAACCGCATTTGGGTGCCTAGGTATACACTGCTACAGGAATTACTGTTACAGGAGGCATACGACGGAGTTACCTCGGGGCATTTCGGAGTAGAAAAAACACGGCAGCAGCTGCAGCGGTATTATTACTGGCCCGAAATGTTGACCGACGTACAACGACACGTGGCATCGTGTCCCACTTGCCAGCTCATGAAATCGTCACGACAGCGGCCGGCGGGACAGTTGTAGTCGATACCACCCCCAGAGCGTGCTTGGCAGCAGGTGACGATGGACTTCGTAACGGGGTTACTAGCCGGGGCGAGTGGGAACGACGCGATCCTGGTCGTCGTCGATCGGCTGACGAAAATGGCACATTTCGCAGCGTGCAAAAAATCGATTACAGCCGAAGAAACAACACGCCTCTTCATCTCCACCGTCATTCGACTGCACGGGATACCCGCCGAGATCATCAGCGACCGCGACACAAAATTCACCAGCAACTTATGGCGGAACTTGTGGCAGCAGTTCGGCACGCGACTGCAGTTCAGTTCATCATACCACCCCGAAACCGACGGACAGACAGAACGGACAAATAAGACCATCGAACAGCAACTGCCACTAATAGAATTCGCGTACAACAACTCGCCATCCGCCACGACCCAACAGTCGCCATTTTACCTAAACTACGGACAAGACCCGACAGTACCCATGACCCCGAATCCCGACAACCCAGTACCACGAGCATAACAGTTCGCCGAAATATTACAAGCAGCACGGACCCGGGCAGTAGACGCAATAAAAAAATCGAACATCATCGCTAAACGCAATGCCGACCGCCACCGCAGCCCGACGACTTAGTTTTACTTGACACTCAGAACCTTCGACTGCCCATCACCCCGAAACTCCGCCCCTGATACTGCGGGCCATTTCGCATAAGCCACATGCTTACACCCGTCACCGCCCACCTCCTCCTCCCTGCTGACTGGTACGTCAGCCCCTCATTCCACGTTAGCCTCCTTCGCCCTTACGTCGCGTCCACTGCCACGCAATCGCCCAGCCAGCATAACAAGACCACCAACTGAACCAATCATCACCCCCGAGAAAATCCTGAGTCACAGAGTTCGCGACCCTCGAGGAGCCCTAAGGATCGAGTTCTTACTCCGCTGGAAGGACCGTACACCCACTGAAGACAATTGGGTTCCCTTGGACAGAATCGAAAACCACCCCGTCCTCACCGAGTATCTGCGCAGCTGAAATTTCAGGGATGTACACGCACTTTCGTAAGGAGGACCTCCTTAGGGGGGGGGGTAGTGTAAGGAAAATTCCTTTTCCTTATTTCCCATCCCTGCTCAGCGCGTACATCACTGTAGCACCACAGTCAGCACCGTTACCACTCGCAACCCTCGCATCATCGACAGTCCGCCCGCCACCTTCGCACATCGCACCCCGACCTCACGGCTCGGCGGGTAACCCGCGCTCCGGGCCTCCGCTTCGACACTTTTTCCCAACCTCTGTCCCAGGCCCGTCGCGCGACAACCACAGTCCATTACCATTACCACTGTAGTTTCGCTATATATTCTTCGGTCATGCCTTCGCTCATTGTACTCTTGCTTAGATAGTGCAATTCTCGTTCGTTCACTCAATTGCACTCGTAACGGTATACAAGTGCTGCAATAGACTTCATCAACAGAAAGCGAATTCATAGAAATCACTGACCCATATCCTCGCCATCTTTATCTGTACTGCTTGATTGAAGCCTATCAAGCCGTGCCTGTAGACTATGTATATAACTAACAGATTTTTCAATCATAGACCCAAGGTCCTGCCTATCCCCCAGAATCTCCTGAGGAATGGCAGTCTTCAGCCTCCTCAAACAATCACTTATCTTCTCCCTCCGCCTCCTCTCTTTCACCGAACGCGGCCTAATGGCCTTCAAAGCTGGGTTCGCACCGCTTGCACCACCCACCCCTCCTCCGCTACCAGCCGCCCTGCCTTGACTCCTGCTCCCACCAGCCCCTCCCCCGCCGCCCACACGCGCTGACGCCGCCCTCTCCGCACTAGACTCCGACACGCCCAGTGCGTCCGAGCTCACGGGTCCGCTCATGCATTGCGCGATATCCTGAAATTCACCAGGAAATTCTGAGAACCTCCGTAGCGATGCGGGGGGTCCACTGTGAGCAGTCAGGGCATCTAAACCAGCCCCACTGGCATTCTGCTGCTGTCCTCTGCCAGAGAGCCTCTGATGGGGCTCATCTGCAAATGCAGGGGGCTGATTGTTAGGAAAAGCTGCATTTTCCACCGAATGAACCGAAAGGGGCGTCGGAAATTCGGCAGCACGCATGCTACTACCAGCTCCTCCAGAAACGTGCAGCTGTGACTGCTGTGGTTGCTGCGAATGGCCGTTGTTACCGCCTGCAGCCGCCACGTTGCTCCGCTGCATCTCCGCCATGAGCGCCGCAGCCAGCACAATGCGCTCCTCTGGCGCAAGCTCCGGCGGAATCTGCTGAAACAACGCCTCGAGCTCGTCCGCTGGAGTGACGGGCAGCGCAGCCGCTGGCCCCAGCGTAGCAGGCTCCATAGTGCGTGTGCGCTGCGACTGCTGCTGCAGCTCGTTCTGAAGCCAATTCGCGCCGATCTGAACTCCAGCGGAAGCCTGAGGGGCCGCGGCGGAAGGCCACTGCGGCGGCGCTCCAAAGACGTTCCCAGCTGCGAGTCGGCTCGCCGCGCGCGAGAATTGCGCAGTGAATTGCGGTGGAGCCGTGGGCCGGATCGTCAGCGCGTCGTTACGCGCAGCAGCCGAGTGGTTCGCAACTATTCCCAATGCCCCAGAGAGCGCCGCCGGTTCTGTCGCCGCGGAACGCGCAGCGTTCGTTTCAATCAGATTGGCTCCATCCAGACCCCCTCCCAACGTGCTGTCTGGCAAACCCGCCATCCGCGATAGCGCGCTAAACTCCTCCAGGTCTCGACCGTGAAAAGCGGCCGCGGATGATGCGGCGTTGGTCGCGTCGTGCGGCATTTCAGCAGCAAGCTGTTGTTGCACTAGCGCCGCGTATAAGTCCGCCTCTTCACCACCAGCGGAACCGCCGCCGCCGCCTGTCGCGGACTGCGCCGTCATCTGCTGCTGCAGCAGAAACTGCTTGGCGTCGAGCGACTGTAGCTCGGCCGCAATCTCGTCAATTGACGATGGCTGTCCGGCAGCGGCGGCGGCGGCACCGCCGGCGAGTCGCGGGATCCATTCAGCCAAGTTGTCGAGATCCGTTTGCGAGATCTCGTTCCTTGCGCCGGCCATGAATGCCGACGCGTCGGGAGGAATTGCGGAGGAACCGAAGAACGTCGAACAGGGGAAGTGAGAGATCCCTGATATGATCAGCTGAGGCTGCTCTTCCAAAAAGGGAGCTACTTGAAGGCCGGGGATGCTATCGCCAGGAGAGTCCAAGCTCGAAAGAAAGCCACCGAGTAGGCCGGGAGAGTCAATCTCCGTGTTTAGCGCCGGAAGATACGGCGTCGGGATAGTTGAGCGTGAATTGCAGGATTCTACGCCTGCCATCGGTTAGTCCGTACAAGAACAGCCCTAGTTTGTTGATTGTAAATGACGTCTCATCATCCGCGATTGCGAAAACTTGAAAAGTATCGCACGAATGGTTTCGGAACTGGCTGGAACCGCGACCGAAAAAAAAAGAAAAGTTTGTATTTTTAGAAGCAGACGACGGCCTCAGTGAGGAGATCAGAAAGAAATCAAGGTGATTGAGATGCGGAGTGTTGCTGGGGCCACGCCTGTGGCTACTACCCCTGGCCGGGGAGGTAAGGAGAACAGGAAGGCGGGGTGGCCAGGGAAATCGAAACTGCACTGCGAGGTTGTGAACAATGCAGTGCTATTTCGGCAGCAAAAAATAGTGTTTGACACACACTCAGCTCCAGCGGAACCATCTGGGGAACTCTCTCCTCCATTTTGCCCTTCTCCTTTCGCCCCATGAATGGCCTCCCCTTCCCCATGTACCCCGAGCCGCTGGCGGTCTGTCATCCACTCTCACTAGTGCCCCCTTCAGCTCGCATGCAGCAAGCCCATCTAGAATCGGCTCGCGAAATTTTGTTATGACGCCCCTCTACCACGCGTGTTTGTCGAGCTGCATGAAGGACGTCACCGAAAAAAAAAGTCAATAAAAAACATAATTAATGAGCACGAAAGAGGCATTGCAACTGTAATTAAATCTGACTTAGGAAGAATTCTTTTCGTGCGCCTGATTTTCTGGCAAAAGGCATGACAGGCTTCCAAAAACTGGCAATTTTGTGGAATTTACGATGCCCGCCGACGAAGCAACAGTATACAGCCTGGCATTCGTCGTCGCTTGTTACACAAACAGCATCCGATTCGAACCATACCATGCCAACCCAGAAGCCTTGAGCCTCGTCACGTGATCAGGAGAAGGGAAACTAACAGCCCTTGACAGCACTTTGCCAGCCAGACTCTCTCAAGAAACAGCCAGCAGTGTACAACTGGCAAGGTGATTGTCAAACGCAATCCGTATCGTTGCAGCAGCAAATCAATGGACGAGGTATTTTGCGATCTGCGATTCTTTGCGTCGCGAACCAGCCGACGGTCCCAGGAACTGTACAGCGGAAAACTTTTCCGAACTGTTTCACAATCACAGCAGATAAATTATACAAAAATCAGCCTTCGATCGGCGGAGTCTGAGCAGAAGTGTTCGAAGGCTCCAGCGTTGGTGCTTGTGTTGTTCAATCGCCAATTCGTGCTCTGCGGCCCCACAAAAACGATGCACTGTACGTGCAGGACGATAAGGTCGTGGATGAATCCTATCCTGCCTTGAAAGTGGACAAAAATCGACGTAAGTCGGTTGCTATGGACAAGTAAACTGACGTCACGGTTATGTTGTTGTTGAGCTAGTTTGTGTGGCTTGCCTTGCCATGCAGTGAGGTGACCCTCGTGTGGTGGGGCAATTCATTCATACGGGCATTTGTTGTATGAACGTCACCATTTACGGAACGAACTAACTTCCCAGCTACTCGGCGGCCCAAATTGTTCATGCTTTTATAAGTTGACCAGAGGGAGTTCTTCTGGTGTGGGCTTTGGCGAGAGTTTCCGATTTCGTCAAGGTTCGTGTTTTTCGCGAGACCCAGCCAGCCCTCGGTTTTCCCCCTGGTGAGTGAATCTGTCTTCGAAAGTCCCAAATTGCAAGTGCGTGACTTTCAAAAGCTTGGACACTCAACTTCGTCAAGTTTTAAAAACTTGACCCTCGCGGCCCGCAATTTAAAACGCGGGCTTTAAGAAACTCTTCTGGAGCTGCTGAATCATCGGGCACACAACTTTTTCGAGGGCTGACTTACCTGATGAGGGCTACATAAAACAGCAAGCCGTTTGCTTTGGTTCGAGTCAACCCAATTTTGAGGCTGCGAACCGGGATGGTTATCAGGACTGACGATTCAAGGGCAAATGCCCTGAACATTAAGGGCTGGGTTCGGCCCATCTTCCGAATTTTAAGGGTTGGGTTTGAGGGCAGCCCGTCCCCGTAAAGTGCTGGTTGTGGGCCTAGCCCGGATTTCAAGTGCAGATCCCGCGGCTAGCCCTTATCGTCCCATACTAATACCTCCCTCCCTTCCATTCCCTCACCAGTCCACTCGCCTCCTCCCAGCCTCTCCCCTACTTTTCCCATCCCTGTCAAATCCATCGACAAGTTTCGTACCTCAGCCTATTGCTTAGCTGGCTCTTAGTAGTTTGCCTAAGATAACGGACCCGAAGAGATGTAGGGCTTCCTTAGCGAAAGTGCAAAAAAGTTGGTAGCCCTGATTTCAAGTGCCAGGTTCGCTCTCAGCCCGTAAATTTCAGGGCAACTTTTGGGGCACCTCAGCCTCTCAAGTTCTGGCTCCAAACCAATCGACAGCCCTGATGGTGATGTGCATGATTCAGAACGAGACTGTGAATGACTCCCAGCCACACATGCCTGATTGGTGGAAATTGTCGCATCGTGATTACACGCCCAAAACAAGTGATACACCAGCTTTGTGTAAGCCCCGTCTGTCTATACTAGCAAAGGTGTACAGAGTAAATATTATACAGACACATCCAACCCACAATAATGCTCACACTAAATTGTCGCTACCTGCTCTTGGGCATGCTTTGCCACTCTAAATGTTTCTGGGGCTCACGATCCAGCAATCCTACGCTGTGTCCTAGCTTTGTCACGGACTTACTGCGGTTCTGATTCTCACAGGTCCCAAGAATATGAAAGCCACCAAACAAAGGCTTACCTCTCCTTATGTTCGTAGGCTGGTTCTGAACTGGACTGAATGGCATGTGCATGCATGTAGAATCCATACATGAGCGTCCACTGGAGCTGCGTGCCGTTCTTGGACTGTATATGGTCATTTTGAAGAGCATGCACTAGGTACGCTAGGCAACCCTTTGGTGTCACGGAAGGTCAAAGAAGCGGTGCTGCAGAGCAGAGTCTGCGGAAGGCCGCTGGCGATAGTCCGGGTTCAGCATGGCCTGCATGGGAGAGCACAGAGCGAGATGGCGGAGCAGGGAGACGCAGGGAAAGACTGTGTGATGTAAGGAGATGCAGGGAAATCAAAGAAGCGGTGCTGCAGAGTGGACCCGCGGAAGGCCGCTGGTGATAGTCCGGGTTCAGCATGGCCTGCATGGGAGATCACCGAGTGAGGCACAGGAGCAGCAGGGAGATGCAGGGAGATCAATAAGCAGTGTCAGAGCTGAGTCTGCTGACAGCTGCTGGCGATAGTCTGGGCTCAGCATGGCCTGCATGGGCGGGAAGAGAATGAGGCACAGGGGCAGGGAGTCGCAGGGAGATCAAGACACAGTGGCACAGCAGAGTCTGCGGAAGGTTGGTGGCGATAGTCCGGGCTCAGCATGGCCTGCATGCGAGAGCGGTGAGTGAGGCAAAGGGACGGGGAGATGCAGGGAGATTAAAGAAGCACAGTCCATGTTTCTCACCATGCCCAACACACCTCATACAGCCACACCCCTTGCCTCCACCCCTTGCCTCCACCCCTTGCCTCCACCCCTTGCCTCCACCCCTTGCCTCCACCCCATACACCCCACGCCTCACCTGCAGCAGCTCCCACCCAGCACCGTCTCTTCGATCCAAAAACGCCACGGCATTGCTCCATCGGTCGTCAGCACAGCAATACCTGCAGGGAGCAGCGCACAGGAGGGATGGGAGGGGAGAATGAAAGGGGTGAAAATTCGTGCAAGGAAAGGGGAGAGCAATGGAGCGAGTCTCAAGTCACGGCACCGTCTCTTCGATGCAAAAACGCCAAGGCATTGCTCCACCGGTCGTCAGCAGAGCAATACCTGCAGGAAGCAGCGTAGGGGAAGCAAGGCAAGGGATGAGCATTGAGACAAACAGGGATGGGCCCTGGGACGAGTCACAAGTCACAGCACCACCTATTTCATCTAAACTCACAAGTCTCAGAAAAGAGAGTGCCTCTAACAGAGGTTATTCAAAGAGTGCGTTATAAGGAGGGCTTTCAAAGAGATATTTTAAGGAAGATTCTTCACAGTGTGCTTACTCTCGTGCTGCAGGGATGTTGAGCGAGAAGGTGGTTTCTAGCAGCCTCTGGCAGAAGGGGAGGTGGGAGAACGGAGACAGGGGAAAGGGGGTGCGGAGGGATGGGGTGTGAGAATAGTGCGAAAGAGGAACAGGAGGCAGCAAAGTGTATTTGGAGAAATACGAGTGTATTTGGTAGGCATGGCTTGTATGACGTCTGTTCTTTTTTCATCTGGAAGCAATGGCCGATCCTCTCACCTGCAGTGATGGCCCGTCAATGGCCCCCGGAGCACACAGAGGCACGAACGCCATGTACGCCACTAGCAGCCCTGCTGCATAGCTGGCGAGGGGTGGAGAGGGGTGAGGAATGGTGGGAAGGAATCATCTGGTCAGGTGAATACGCACAGAGAGGCATGAAAGCCATGTAAGCCATGAAAGCCACGAAAGCCAAGCAGTCCTGATGCATAGCTGGCGAGGGGTGGAGAGGGGTGGAGTGGGGGGTGGAGGGGGTGGAGGAGAGGGCAGGAAGGGGGAAGGGGATGACCAGCCAAGCCAAGACACACAGAGAAGCAACGGGACAGCAAACCCCACACACCACCTCACATCCATCACCAACTCCCACATACCCCACCTCACCGCACTCGCACGTCGTCCGCAAGGCCAAAAGGGCGGCACTCCAAAAAGGAGTTGGTGCCAGCAGAGGCCGCGAAAGGGCATCACCACGCCAGCACCCCTCACACCCGCCATACTCCCCAACAACCGCTGTACA